GAAGATGAGGCGGGCATGAACCGGGTTTTGGACACACTTCAAATTCCCCGCGCAGTTGTGAAGAAGAGCAGTCCTGGAAAGACAGATGCGCCAAATGTGCAGCCCAGACCGGTGGCTCAGCAATCTCCCGAGCGAAACTCGCCTGATAGTCCAACTCCAGAAGGACAGCCCATAAAGGAGAACGCGCTTGGAGCGGCTCACGTACTCATGCCTTCGCCCCCTCAGATCTCTTTGGGTGAGAGAAACACGGATCCAGTGAACTTCTTTGGCGTCAATCCGGGCCCGTCGGCCCACTACCCTTCCACGCACTGGGGCTTTACTCTTCCGACGGCAGAGAGTCTAGGATCCATCTATGCTAACTTGGATGGTGCGTCCAATTACCAGAATGAGGGCAGCATCAGCAGTCCGGACAGCGTACCTTTACCTCCAGACTTCACTCAACAGCCTGGTGTCCTGTTGGGCCAAGCCCAGAATGACACTGAGGACGATTCCGACAGTGGCGAAGAGGACGAAGCTGAGAACGATGTCATTGAACAGTTATCCCATCGGATTGGGACGTTGAAGATCGCCGGGGATGGCCACCTTCGGTTTTATGGAGCCACATCGAATCTCAACCTGGTTGACGTCTCGGCGACCCAACAACGCCAGCGACCTGATGCTCGTACTGTTCGCCATGATGGACAGGATATCCTGAATCATCTGCGAGTCGGGCAGCCTGTGGATCAGGCCCTCGAGGACCATCTTGTGGAGCTTTATTTTACCTGGCAGAATCCTAGCACCTATGTTGTTGACAAGGAGATGTTTATGACGGCGAGGTCGAGGTGGAGGAATGACCTCGACGACACGCCATTTTATTCGGAAGTCCTGACAAATGCCATGTACGTTATTGCCATTATTGCCATCATTGCCATGCATTCGCACTAACAAGATTTTAGGTGTGCCGTCGGCAGTGCGTTCGAAGCACGTTACCACCCTACTTTTATCACGTTCCCCAAGTCGCTTTCCGAGTTCTTCGCGGATCGAGCCAAGGCTCTCTTGGAAATCGAACTAGATTCTCCCTGTGTTGCCACAGTGCAGGCGCTGGTCATTTTGAGCTGTCATGAGGGGGCATCGAATCGGGATGCACGCGGTTGGCTCTATAGTGGTATGTTGGAGAACCAAGCAAATGGAGGGACAGAGCTGATTATCTCCAGGAATGTCAATGCGGCTTGCATTTGACCTTGGATTACATCTCGACATGACTCCGTACGTTGAAAAAGGTGACATTAGCGCATTCGAAGCCGATGTGCGTCGCATAGCGTTCTGGGGAAGCTATACTGCGGACCAGTAAGTTGCAAGCCTGATTGCTGGGTCACCGGTGTCTCTGACTGATGATGATTCCAGTTTCTGGGGCTTTTACCTAGGACGTCCTTTCCGCACCAATGCCGGAGACATCACTGTCCCCAAGCCCGCGTCGGACCTAGGAGCTGAAAAGGAGAGCATTTGGTATCCATATGGGCTAGAGACGAAATCTGTGGTGCTACAGCATGGGTTGAAGAATCCAAATGAGCTGATCAGCAGACAATTCGCGGTGCTATGGGAGATCATTCTACCCATCGGTCATATCCTGTAAGTTCTTCCAACGATGTCTGATCTACTTCAGCCACTGACATCGCTCTAGGTACGGTTGCTCCGATATTTCTCGACATGATCTTCAGAGGCTGTGCTATAACGTTACTGAGGATCTTTTCGCCTGGAAGGAAAACCTGCCTTCCAACTTGAAGATTGACCTTGACGACGAAACTACACCAAGATTGCCCCATCTCTTAATGTTGCAGTACGTCTTTCCGTATCCGCACAGCCAGGGCCATAAAGCTAATCGTCTACAGCTTGCAATACCATCAGATAGTCATCTTCACTCACAGACCATGGGTCTCGAAAAACTACATCCAACCACGCAGTCCGCGCCAGGGTCCCGGCTACCACCATGCGCGACGAATGTGCATCGAGTCATCGACAGCCATCGCGCGAATTCTCCACATATACGAAAAACATTATACCTTCCGCCGGATGAACAATCAGGTTGTCGCGATCATCTTCAGCGCAGCTCTGATGCTTCTCTACGTGACCATCTCGAACACATTTGCATCCAGCAAGAACAGCAGCGAGAATACCAACAGCAACGCGGAGATGGTGGCATACCTGAATCTCTGCTTCCGCGCTCTAGACGAACTGGGCCAGTCCTTCGAGAACGCCAAACGAACCCGCGACTTTCTCGTCAGCCTGCAACGCAGATGGCAGGCCCACCTGCGCCGGTCCGGGTCCGCCAAAAAGCGCCAAGTCAGCAAGTTACTTTCGCAACAATCCGCCGGTCCGGGACCCGGACCCTCCACCGAGACCGATCCCTCGCGGAAAAAATCCCGAATATCCGCGTCGCGGAGCCAGTATCAGTCCTCCTATCCTTTCGCTCCGCCAGCACCTTCATCGAACATGCCCGCTACCCACAACCTTTCCCAGTCTCAATCTCAGTCGCAACGGCCCCCGCAACAATCCCTGAACCAGTCCCAGCGCTTCGGCGCCTGCCAACCCGGCGACCTGGACTGGATCCGGGACTCGGATTTCCAACTCCTAGCCGAGAACCTCGGAGATGGCCGTCTGGCGCAGATGGGGACTGCCAATCAGTTCGAAGGGGAGAATGTCTTGCCCAGCCTCTCTGATATCGAACCGTGGTGGGACACGCCCAATGGACATACTTTCGGGGGTTCTTCATTATAGATACATAACTTATTTTATACATAATGAATTTATGGAGATACACTTTATCTAATTCTGCTACTGTGTCAGAGGATCATGTAGAACCCAGCTCGATATCTATATATATTCAACATCACAAATGACACCCTGCAAAATAGGTTCATATAAGATGCAGTTGCTGGGAGCATGAACTGGGGAACTGGTGGTACTAGTCTCGCGCTTTACCAACTGAAAATAGGGTAGTATGTCCTCACTCAGACCGACCTCTCAATCTCCACTGTCAGCACCTTAATATTCATCACTCTTTCAAGACTAGCTTAGTATACCTATACAGAGTCATAACCTTCATTAGACAGAAGTATAGCTCTCAATGGCTACTATTCGCATCTGATAACGCCTCACCCAGCCATCTCGCCGCGTCTTCCTCGCCGGACACAGGCCATCTTCCGGACGCCACCTGCGCAAGCGTGACTCTGCTCTCCCCGTAACCCTTTCCCCGGCCCCAGAAACATGCCCTGCGCATAACATCAACCATCTCATCCGCCTGTTGTGCCAGGATTGAGCGCCGCGGTGTCTTTCTCGAGTGTCGGGGCCCCTGCCGTTTCCCTTCTCCGCCTGACGCAGGGACAGCGTCAGGCTGTTCGTTCCCATGGGCACGGACAAAGAGACGGATGCTTGGGAGGGCCATTTCGAGCCGTTTGAGTCCCTGGTTGTAGAGGTGGTAGCGAGTGGAGGCGCTCGAACCATAGTCTAGACCGTATGGAGGCCAACGCGAGAGGGCTTTGCGGCGGCGGATGGCGCGGCCCTGAGTGCCGAAGCTGGCATCGGCGGGGTCAATTCTGGACTTTGCGTCTGGGTCTGGATCGGAGGGTAGATCTGCCTCCAAGTCGTAGATGTCACCCTGCTGGTGGATTGCCTGGTCTTGCGCATTGGGTTTCCAGACACCAATCGGCTGTATATCCGGCTGTTTGGACACAAGCACAGGAACGGGATAGTCCGGCCCAGTGCGGTACTTCGGAAACACCCTCGGAACGTCCTTACCTGCCGACCGTAGGAACAGGACAGGCGAGGCAAAAGCATCAAAGTAGCGCTCCGGCGTGGCAAAGAATTTCTCCCGTGCTTCGAGGAGCGGGACGAGATCCTGCGCAGCGGGGACTCGGCTTCCTGCACCCCGTGTTCTCTTGCTGGCGGTATTTCCCTCGTGAGCTGGTTGCTCTTCCATAAGACAGTGCTCGTCCAGCCCGGCCCAATCGCAAATAGGTTCCAGGGCCGCGACGGCATGAACAGATTGCGCTTCTGTGAGGGCCAACATGAGCGCTAGCGAGCCACCGATGTGTGTGCCGAATACACCTAGGCGTGCGGGTTGGAGGTTCTGCTGGACCCAATCGAACCCGGCCAGGGTATCGTGGACGGGTGTAGGGTACCGATAGAAGACTTCATTCTTGACCGTAGAGAGACGCCTCTCTTCTTCGTTTCGGGACAGGCCCGAGTCCCATACGAGGTCTGTCGACGAAATTGCCCCTAGACGGTAATTGATCGTTACGACGGCTGAGGAGGTGACGGACGCCAGAGCTTCTGAGCAACGATCATCTTGACTTCCACCATGTTCTGCCTCTTGCTGAAACAATGGGCCCGGAGGTAGGCGGATGATCACATTCGGTTGGCCATGAGTAGGCGTTATTGAGGGATAGGTTACACTGTCATAAGTGTGCATGTCAATATAAGCTTTTATGAAGCATTGTAGAGAGGTAACTTACTTCAGGGATACATGTCCATTGTTTCCAACTGGGACTTGGAACGACTTATTGAGGTAGGTCCGTTGCGCAAATCGAGAAGTCGAGAAGCAGCGGAGGTTCGCTCGAACGTATAAACGGGTTGGCAGATGAAAAAAGGAGACTTTGACTGCTATGAACCTGTTTGGAAGGTCAATTGCAAGCCGGCGCATCGCGCCATGTTTATATGCGAGGACAAGAGAGATGCGGGTGGGTGGGAAATGACGAGTGTCCATCGAGACATGTGAGAAGTCTTGGCACTTTTATCCTATATCAATCAGGCATTCATTTGCATTATCTCAAAAGGTTTGGATTTTCAGGCTTCGTTACATTCATAAGCTAGAGAGTATGGCATTATCAATCACTTTCTATACATTATCAATGGCACGCTTGTACATGAACAATTGAGGCCGGATATCGAGGGCTATACAATCTAAAAACAGATGATATACCAAAAGCAGGAACGCCGCAACTTTTGTATCCAGTTCTTCAATATCAATGATTGCTGAGCATTCGACTGGACTTGCTCTTCGCCAGAGTGGCGCTAGCGGCCGGATCGTCCATGTCAAGAGATGCTTCGACGTCGTCCTCCGGCACAGGCCGAACGACAGCGAGAGACAGATGCTGGTCTTTCGAATAAACCCGCAATCCCACCACGCAGACTGCATTCCATGGATCGCTACTGGCTCCAGGACAGCAGGTAGACGAGGCAGGCGGGACCTTTGTCTCCTCATGCTCCTCAGGGGGCATGTCGAGATCCGAGTCAAACTCAAATCCTTCCAGCAGCTCTTGTTCGCTGTAGTATATTGAATGGGTCATGGAGAAAGTGGTGTCCAGACTCGAGCGGAGGCTCTCCCTGTTTCGTTGCCTCACATGTTTCGAATGGTGGTCCTCTGGGAGATTGATCGTGGGAACGCTGCTGTTCTGCACCGGCTTGGTATCAAAACCATTTGTAGCAGCGCCTGCCAAGTCTGCGGGAGATTGCACAGGACCATCGGGAAAGACCTGCTCGGTGGCCCGCTTGTCAGGTTGCTTTTGGTTGAGGCTGCCATTGCTCATTGCGACACGTCTCTCTGCGGCCCGCTCTTTCCGTGCAGCCATCTTGCGTCCTCGGATCCACTCCTTTTGAAGCTTCCTCTTGGTTTCTTCGCGCAGCTTTCGTCTCTCAAGTTTTCTGCGACGCAGCTCACGCTCTTCGCGCGCTTGCTTCTCCTGCTCTGTCTCTACGACCAGACCCTTGGCGTGCGCGAGATCATACGAGAGACCAATCTGAACGAGCTTCTCCCGCTTGACTGACGCCAGGCGGCTGACGACCTCTTCTGCGGCCTCGACGCCGTCTTTTCTGTAGGCAGTGACCTTCACGAGCACATGATATCGGCCAGGATCGAGATCGACCTCGGCGCTCACTGATCGGTTGATAAGGTAGCTGCTATGGCTGCGGACGATGTATTCTTCTTMTCCCTCCTTCTGCACTCTGAACTTCAGGACAAAGTCATATTCACCGTCAAGGCCCCTGAAATACCGCGTATCCAGCTGTTCACTGTCAGCACGTTGCAGCTTCTCTGGATGGAAGGAGAGTCACCTGAGAGAGGACGATGACGACAGGGCCGGCGGTTATCACATCCAGCCTGAACTTCGTGCTGTGATAGTCCGCTGACCATGGCACATTGAGAATGGTCCATTGCTGGGTGACTGTCCACTCAGGCCCGAAGAGACGGGTGCGATCAAGATGTTGATACTTTTTGAGGAGATCCTCGTAGGAAATCCAAAAGAACTATCGCCATTGTCAGCTGACAGCGCCAACAACCCAGGATCAGAGAAGCACGTACACCATCATTTCCGAACTTGTGATCCAATTTCTGCATCCACTCTGGTGTCCATTGCTCTGATCCGTCACTCCATGCACCGTTCCATTCTTTCTTACCCCACGGGTTCCTATCCGGGTCAGCATATGCGCACAGATGTTGGGAATGAACCCACCTCAATCGCAGCAGGCGACGACCGTCGACCTCCCTCGCATCCATGATTGAGTATGAATGATTTTCGGAAATTCCCTTTCTATCTCTTGGAGGCCCTTGGTATTTAGGATCTAGCCAGTTGGAAAACAGTCCCGTACCGCAGCCGAACAAAAATTCATCATTGACTTTCATAAGCTCTTCCTTCCAGAATCGGTCCTTGTCCAGGATGTTGCTGGTCAGGATATCTGACGTGACACCTCCTGTCAGGTCCTCGAGTGCCTCCCTAAAGCATGTCAGAGAGGGCATCAAATTGTTAGCGCAGTGTATCTCACCCTACGAACCCGCCCTCGATTGAGGAAAAATCACCATGTGCCTTGGCATAGGCTTTCTCCAGCAAAGGCAGCCATGTCTCGTTTGGATCCACACACTGGGCAAAGTAGAGCGCCCGTGAGCCTGTCTKCCAGACTTTGCGATACTCCTCTTCGGTGTCACTGCGGTTGATGTCATCCCAAATGGGTCTCTCATCAACGGACTCGTCGTAGTCGGCTGCACGAAGATACAGCTTGTCGTCCACAATGCACTTTTGCCATTCCCCGTCTGTCGAATCAAGTCAGAGTTTGCTTACTGCTCGAGTGATGGTGTGCTACCCACCTCTGTAGAAGATGAAGCCGTAAACTCCGACGTTCTCATCCCGTGCAACACAGATCTTCTCTATCAAACCATGCTTGTTGCCCATCGTGCAGAGAGCGGCCATAAACCAACAATCGCCATCGCGGCCTTGGCGCACATCCGACGCAGTTGGTCCATTGACGAAGAATTGCGGATTCTCGAAGATTTCCTGGCCAAAAATGATTTAGCGTCGTTCGTCTGCAATAAACGAAGCGCTGATTTGGGCAACACACAGTGACTCTTTTGACCCCTTTCGGGCGCATTTCATGATTCTTGTGATCGAGCGAATCCAAGCAATCCCTCCGTCCAGATTTGAGGTCGACCTCAATATCAAAATGTGGATCGGTATATTTCTGATTCACCCGCCTGCACTCTTTCACGATGCGCTCGACAGCCAGTTCGCACTCTTGTCTGGCTTGCTCGTAGGACTTCCCCGCATTCTGACCTTTGATCGTGCCCCTCCGTATACTCGCCGCTTTGGAGCGAGCATACGGATTGTCAGGCAGAACAGTGTAGACCTTACCGGGGTACTTGGTACTGAACTGATTCCAAAATTCCCTCATGATCTCCTGGGGGTTCTGCTGCACTCTTCTCGCTCGGCTATCCGAGCGCGATGAGAGGGGTGGAGTGTAATCCATGTCGATATAGTCTTCACCCATCTCCATGATGCTTGAATCGGCTTTGAAGACCCAGATGATTCGTGAGGCTCGTCAGTGATAGAGGACGAGGACTCTGTTCTCAAAAAACTCGAGAGAAGAGCAAATTGCGACCCTGATAAGGATTTAAAGAACCAAGACCCCGCTGTAAGCAATCTAGTAGTGCTCAGCCGTGCTGAACCGTTACACCGTCACTATTCACCACACAACAAAAGCCAAAGGAGTATGTTCTATGAACCGTTACGCCGATCTCGTGTCCAGCCTGAGGCTGAGCCAAATCGACGAACCATAACGGAGTCAACGGTTTGGCCCCATGTCATCAACGACACCAGGATAAGGATAAGGGGCCAATCAACGAGTAAGAACCGTCGAGATGCATAGCGGGGATTGCAAGAAATGCAGCCCTGGAGCCCGTGTCAGCATTCAGGCCTTTCTGGATTCGCGCGTTTCACGCCATTCACACATGGCTGCCAAGTCGTAGGACGCTTATGCAGAGTCGAATGCGCTTGGGCTGAGTCGGGCCAATCATGGAAAAGCGTGAGATGATCCCAAGTCCATACCCGGCATTTTGTCTGTTGGTGGCCCGGCCCCTGAGCTGAAAACATGCTTACGGCAGCTGAACCAGCAGGAAATATCCCCTAGAATAGTCATTCCTAGCAACGATTGCAGTCTTGTAACAATATATTCGGCATGACCATCAGATTGTGAGCAGGGGATGTTGTTTCACAGCATTCAGCCGGCGTCCAGGAGAAGTAGTACAGGGACGGTGTGCCTGAGGCTGTGCCATTCATGTGTCGTCCAAAACATGGAAGCTGGCAAGGCTGATGGAGGTTAGTGATTCCAGTTAAGACGCCCTGCGGCCCTGTTTTCTGTATCGGGAATCAACATGGGCTAGATTCCCTGTATTCTGTTGCATTCGTAGCTTCTTTCTTTAGACGTCTGCGTAATCTTGACCATGCCGGCTTCTGTCATCTTGGTAAGCACTACAAGTTACGGGGAGCCAGCTGTGCAATGGGTGACCCGCGTCCTCAGAATCAATTCCGTACCATAAACGTAGGATTAGGAGATACACAATATTGAAACAGGTATATGGTATGTACGCTGTTGCGAAATGGAAAAATGGTCCATGAAATATCCAGTAACCTAACCTCTTTCCTGCCTTATCACACCACACTAACGCCGTAGAACAATTGCAGCCAATAAAAGAAAAAGGATAAGATAAAATGAAAGAAGACGCAGCGCCCGACACATTGGTAACGAGTCACAGACCAGCAGGGGCGAGTAAGTCAGCGAGGTCAGCTGCGTTGCCAACGGCTTCCAGTGCTTTCGGGCATCTGTCAGCCTCTCATGCATACATACATTACAGACGAACAAGTAAAAATCGTGACAAGTCTTCAGTTAGTGATATCCATTTCTCCGACCGCGACCAGAGTAGTAAGCGGTACCGTGTGCAAAATATGGGTGCATGCAGGCCTGTTTGGCCGAGATTCGACGGGCGGGATCGTACTCTAGTAGAGCCTCCAAAAGGTCAAGGCCATCCTCCTCCAGGCCAGGGACCAGTGTATGGGGATCTTGGCGCTTCCACTTGGGGAATGTTGGTTTGTAGTCAGGGAATGAGGTGACGCCAGGCCAGATGTTTTCGTCAGGAGTACCAAGGAGTCTGTGGTGCGAGACGTGAATCAATAAATGGACCCTTAATACAGCAATTGCCGCAACGAATAAGCATACCTGAAGATCTTGAAAATCTCGTCAATCTCGGAATCGCCAGGGAACAGCGGCTTGCGTGTGCACATTTCGGCAAAAATAGCGCCACAGGACCACATATCGACGCCTGTAGAGTATTGACGACCACCAAGCAGGATTTCAGGAGATCGGTACCAGAGCGTCACAACCTGGAACGCCTTATAAGTATTCTACGTTGAATGACAGCCAATAGGGTCCAATGGTCTCACCTCATGTGTGTAGGTCCTCAGAGGGACACCGAATGCTCTTGCCAGGCCAAAGTCGGCCAATTTCAGATTGCCATCACGGTCAATGAGCAGATTTTGAGGCTTGAGATCACGATGCAGAATACGATGGCTGTGGCAGTAACGAATTCCCTCCACCAATTGGGCCATGAACTTCTTGACCATAGCATCTCCGAGTCCCATGTTCTTGCTCAATGCAGAACCTTCGGGCAACGCCTTTCCACGTCCACCCTCGCTAACAGGAAGAGCCTCCATGTACTTCTTGAGATCGAGATCAAGGAATTCGAAAACAAGATAGAGTTTGTGGCCATCGGCATGGACAATATTCAGGAGTCGTACAATATTCGGATCGCTCATCTCCTTCAGAAGGGAGATCTCCCGAATGGCAGTGCTCGGAACACCTTCATCTTCTGCTTCAAGTCGGATTTTCTTCAGGGCAACAATACGGTTGGGATGGGTGAGTTCACGGGCCTTGTAGACGACACCGTAGGTTCCTAGCCATGGGAATAACGGGTCAGCTCGATTATTCCCATGGTGGTGATTGGAGGAAATGACTCGAAATAGCATGGTAAATATGCAGGAACTAGGTCATTGTACATACCCTCTCCGATTTTCTCAATCTTTTGGTAATTCTCCATTGTGACAGTCTCCTTGCCAAGGATTCCCGATAATCAACTTTTACTCGTAGGACGGATGGAATCACGAGCTAACTGCTGGGCAAGATTGCTGGCAAGTGGGGTACAACAGTGTTAAATGCACAGTGTCCACTAGGTCGCTCGGACAAGGAGGAATAAGATGGGGTTTCAATTGATGCTAATAGCCGCGAGGAGGGGGGATAGGGATGAATGGAAACTCCAAGCTAGGGGGAGAGCTGGCCGGTTCCGCGTCAGACACCACACAGGATCATCCAAGGGCCAAGGTCAAGATTGACCGAAATCGATCAATTGACGTGCGGCTGAAGGGCTGTCGATCGGATCGTCGAGTCGAGTAATCTTGAATCGAACGAGGCTTGTTGTTATTTTCGTCCCTGCTTTTGATGGTGGGGAGACAAAGGCGGTCAGACCAGAAATAATGAATGGATGTACACAAACAAAACGATTCCCACGCGACAAAGGCGGTGAGCGCGTTCCGTGATGGTTCTTTTTTTCTTCATTTCTTTGTCTTTTGGATTTGAACAGCGACACTGACCGGATGATGGGGCATCCCAGAGCTTAGACAATCAATCGTCCAAGTTGCGGCGGTCTGACTACTTAATTATCCTGGGATGAACCTGCTTTTGAAGTGAAAAGCATCGCGAGATAGCCTTCATCATCCCCGATCACTGAATTGGCTCGGCTTCTATACTTCTAAAGCTTATCGCCGCAGTTTGCACATACCATGCCTCATATCAAAGAGCTCAATGCTCATGAACGACCCCCTGAGGCCATCCGACATCGCTACAAGTCTCTTCAAAAAGCCACGCTTTCTGAGATCAATATTGATGGGACCATAATTGACCTGAAGGCTCTGAATCCTAATGATCTTCCAGACAATATATCGCTGTCGCATTGGGTATCGAGTCATGACCTTCGCCCGATTTTCCAGCAGTTTGCCGGAGAACATGAGGACTCTCTTCCTGAAACTATACCTGTCTATACACACAAATCCGTCTCCGGTTAGCATATCACAGCCCTGGTCTCCTTGAAAGCGAGCGCAAACCAAGAAGTAGAGCAATCGACTCCTAACATGTGGTAGGTTTGCAAATGGTCCCCTCCATATTTCCCTCGGCCGTTCAAGTAGAGTTACTCTCTCGATTGTTCCATCGAGATCTGTCAAATCCGGAGCATCGGACCAATCTTCACCTGCATTACCACGTCACCTACCCTGGTCCAGCTGCAAGTCAACCCAACACCGCCGTGTCCCCACCTGAAGATGGCTCCACAGGGCCACAGGTTGTGTCTTTCTTTGAAGACGATCCGTCTAGAGTCTTATTTGCCAAAGACCCGCAGGTCCATAAGCCGGTTACCGTTCAGCAAGTGCTCACCAAGAAGCTGCGCTGGGTGACCCTTGGTGGTCAATATGACTGGACTGCTAAAGAATATCCTTCGGGACCCCCGCCTGCATTTCCTGCTGATATTGCCAACCTGTTGCAGACAGCCTTTCCTCAAACAAAAGCTGAGGCGGCCATATTGAATGTTTATTCCCCTGGCGACACTCTGAGCCCTCATCGGGATGTCAGTGAGGAGTGCGATGTGGGATTGATCAGCATCAGTTTCGGCTGCGATGGCCTCTTCCTGATCAGCCACGATGATGGAACTGATTGTGAGATCATCCGTCTTCGCTCGGGGGACGCCGTGTACATGGATGGCACCTCTCGCTTTGCATGGCACGCAGTACCGAAAATTGTCCCTGGCACTTGCCCGGATTGGTTGGCTGATTGGCCATGGTGTACCTCCAACACATCTGATAAGACGCCATTTGGCAAGTGGAAGGGCTGGATGGCCGGCAAGCGCGTAAATCTAAACGTCCGACAAATGTCTGCGACTGAGTCTCATGGTTGACGGTCTGAGGTCTCAAATTCTATGATATACCTCTCAGGTTATCTCTATAGATGTATGCCTGTCAGAGACGAGCGTCATGTGCTCCATGAGGGCAAGGCTGGTCATCTGTCGCCAATGGACAGATCATCCTGGTAGTCAGGAAAATCTACCATCCAACATATAACAGGCTGCCACGTATCGACACCATCATCCCTTCCGGCTGGGCCCAAACGATAATCAGTCTCTGAGGCGCCCTGTTATTGAAATCATTGGATTGGATGTTACTCCTTCTGCATAGCGAAGTGAGATCTGGTACAGAATCCAGTAACTGGGGCATTATTGTAGCCGGCCTCTATGAGACGGGCCGTGCAGAAGTTCGAGTCATTGAAAGAATAGATTGAACCGCTACTACAATGATGAGGATAAAGACTTGATTCTTTCAATAGTATCTTCTTGAAACTCGACAATTCCGTTGTTCGGATACCCATGCGGGACAGGACAGAGATTCGCCAGGCCTACTAGCCTAATACCAAGATTACTGAGTTTCCTCAATGCGGAATATGTCCCGTATGACTCCAACTACTCCATAGACTCGCATCCAATGGCTCTCCAACTGTATATCCCTGTTGGAGAACAGAATATGAGTTGGATCTCAGACGTTACTGGATAGATAACACTGCCCCACGTTCCCCGCCGCGACTGACTAGGTATCATACGAGATTCCGCATAATCATCGACGGCCTCGGTTATCTTCATGGTATCACAAACCAGGGCACGTCTCTTGACCTGCCTAATTGGAAAAGATACGGAGTTTCTGATACCTAAGATAAGGAAGATGACCCCGTTCTCCAACTGCCTTCACCCGATTTAAGGTGGACGTTTCCTACCGGACGAGTTATCCCTTTTACTACGCCACCCCTCAATTATATCCATAAGTTCTAATAACCAAGCTGTTAAGTCACAATGACTGCAGACTGGAGATCCTTGGCTGATGCCAAACGTCAGTCCATCCTCGATGCAATTCCCGCCAAGTGGAGGATTCAGACTCCGGTCCCATCACCATCCGAACTACGTGATGTTACTGGTTACATTGAGCAGTTCTTGAGTCCTCGGGAACTAGAGATTACCAGAAACGATGCCGTGGACATCGCGAAGCAGACGACGTCTGGTAACTGGACTGCTGTTGAGGTAACGGAGGCGTTTTGTCATAGGGCTGCTCTAGCACATCAGCTTGTACGTCTGCTAGAAACTATACTGCATGCCATTTGTTGAGAGTGTCCAGGTGAACTGTCTGCATGAAGTATTCTTCGAGGCAGCTATTGAAGACGCCCAAAGACTTGATGCCTATTTCGCAGAGAATAAGAAGCCTGTTGGGCCTCTTCACGGTCTTCCGGTCAGTCTGAAGGATCAGTTCCATGTGCGAGGCGTGGAGACAACGATGGGATATGTCGGGTGGATTGGTACGTTCCAGGGCAAAAAGGAAGATCCAAGAAAAGGCGTGTTTGAAAGCGAGCTTGTCAGGGAGCTTCGCAACCTCGGGGCTGTGCTGTACTGCAAGACAAGTGTACCTGCGACTCTGATGGCAGGAGAAACGGTCAACCACATCATCAAGTATACAACAAACCCGCAGAACCGACTTCTCTCTTCTGGAGGAAGCTCTGGCGGGGAAGGCGCGCTTATCGCCCTGAGGGGGTCACCTGGAGGGTTTGGCACTGATATTGGTGGTAGTGTGCGTATACCGGCTGTATTTAACGGCCTCTACGGAATACGTCCCTCGTCCGGCAGGGTACCTTACGAGGGTGCTGCAAACTCCATGGACGGCCAGAATACCATTCTATCCGTTATTGGCCCGCTTGCAACAACAGCGCGCTCTCTGAGAATGCTTTTCAAAGCTGTACTCAGCCAAGAGCCTTGGTTCCATGATCCAGGGGTGCTCGAGGTACCCTGGCGCGAAGATATTGAACGAGAGGTCGGGGCTCTGGTTAAGCAGTCAGCAGCCGATCCCTCCAAGCTTGCTTTTGCTGTTATGCACCACGACGGGATAACCAAGCCTCACCCTCCTATTGCACGGGCTATGAAGACCGTGGAGGAGACACTAAAAAAACTCGGGCACATGGTACGAGAATTATAACAATGCGTATGGTCTATGTCAAGCTGACAAAGTTGGATATCAGGTCATTGAATGGAAACCTCCATCTCACGGTATCGCAGCCGACTTGGCCGTATGTTTCGTCCCTGTCCACTTTTCTTGGGCTCTAAGTATACTGACTCCGACAGGATCAAGCTTTCACCTCCGACGGTGGAGCAGATATCGAGTATCACTTTGGACTATCTGGAGAAGAGCCTGCTCCACAGATCATAGTCAAACCTAACCTCACTCACAAGACAGCCCTGGAAGTTGCAGCGTTGAACGTCAAGAAGCGAGAATACCAAAAGCTCTATATGGAATACTGGAATAGTACTGCTGAACTGACAGGTACTGGACGGCCGGTGGACGGATTCATCTGCCCATGTGCACCACATGCGGCCGTGATTCCTCAGAAATATCGTCATGTTGGTTATTCATCATTCGTGAATGTGCTGGACTACACCAGTGTCGTGTTCCCAGTGACTCGTGCAGACAAAACAATTGATGTGTCTCAACCACGAAATGACTTCCTGAGCGAGGTGGACAGGCTAGTTTATGAAGATTGTGAGCTCATCTTATTGATTCAGTGGATTCACTTTCTCCAAACGATTTGCTAACCTTTCTCAGATGATGCCGACATCTACCACGGGGCGCCGGCCGGGCTTCAGATCATCGGACGACGATTCCAGGAGGAGAAAATGCTGACATTAGCTGAGTATATCGGTGAGAAGGTCAAAGAGGCATCACAATAGGTCTTGTTTCAAGTGTCTACTTGATTGATGTGCGGTCAGCTAGTTGTTATMATTGTTATTAGACGCAGAGGTAGCATCATGAAGCGCAGCCATAACATCATGTGTCCCATTTGTTTTTGAGCCATTGTAGCAGCTATCTGGAAAGGCATTGTTAAATGGGAGATATCCCCAGGTTCTATCTAACTAACTGTATCTGTCTCAAGAGAGCAAAAGACGCGGACTCGAAGTTCCCCACCGCAAAGCTTGGCGCTTGTCGATCGTCACGTCCACATTCTCGTTCTTCTTCCTCTTCTTCCTTGCTGCTTCTTTGTTTTTTCTCTCCCTCGTTCCAGCTCAGCTATCTTTTCTTTTTTTTCCATCACTTGCAGCTTTATCACGCTCCCTCACTTCCAATCTCGGGGTCCACTCTTCATTGCTCCAGCTGTGACGCACAAGCGCGGGCCTTCTTCTTTCATGCATTGAGCTGCAGAGCTTCCCTCGGATGCGAGCTGCTCAACGCGTTTCTGGTGTCACCGCGACTCCACGTTCACCAACAACTTGAATTCTTTTCACGCTCTTGTGAAACAATGGCGGAAACCACACCCTCTCGTCCGAACGACTCCCCAGAAAACTCTCCTGGTGGAGGCGAAGACAATCAGTCCCAATCGGCAGGCCAATCCAAGAATCCGGCTTCCGTCAAGGATCGAAAATGCCAGTACTGTCATCAGGCCTTCACATCGTCATCCCTCGGCCGACACCTGGATCAATTTCTCTTCAAGAAAAAGCCCGACGGGATCCACGATGTTGAAGAGATTCGGCGCATTCGAAGCGGAATCACCAGACGGCAGGCCCGCACATCCTCCGGCAAACGGGATACTCCTGAACGGGCCATGGGCAAGGGCCCGTCGGAGCACTATGCAGGCGGGGAACACGGCGCGAAGCCGCGCGAGGGCGCGATCAGGATGATGTTTAACACGCCTACGTGGCATGCGACCGGGGTCATCAATGATATTCCCAATCCGGGTCAGACGCCGGAGGGGTCGCGGTTCGCGGCCTCGCAGCCTCGAACAGGGGCGGTGCATCTTCCGGACTATGCGAGTAGGGGTGCTAGCGCCAAGGATCCGGATACAATGAGGGCGTTGGAGCTGGCGCTGCGAGAGGTTCTGGATAATATCAAAGCTGCAACGTGCGTGCCCGTCACCACTCGGTCCCTGCGACTGAAGAATGTGCCAGAAAATTGAATAAGTCCTTGCTAACAGCAATGCGCACAGTAGTTCTCGGATGCGACCTCGGCTTTCGCCGTTCGATTTCGATATTCAGTCGGAGACATTCCCCTCGCTCTGCCTTCAGCTGCTGCCCCCACCTCCCAGTCTCTTCTCTACGAATCCGTTCCCGTCGCCGTCATCTTTCCCATTGAAACCTCCTGGGGTAGAACATCTTGATATTGTACGACAGGCAATTCGAGCGAAGATTGACCAGTGGCAATCCGATCAGCTTTCCGCGCAATCCGCGAACGACTCTCCCGGTCGGCCGGGACTCGGCCTAGACGCTAACATGATCAGCCGCAGCGCACAGCAACATGAAGACATGAGCCTGAGGCATCTCGAGCTGGCATTCAAGCACTGGGCCTCGCTGCCACCGGAGACCCGACTAGAGGCATGGCATCTTGAGATTACACGCGCGTTCGCCCGTGAGGTGGAGAAACGGAAAATTTTGGATGAACAGCTTGCTCGCGTCCAGCAGGAAGCCAACCAACTACGCGCGCAGGTTGAGAAGCTGGGTTCTTGCCAATGGCCCCGAGAATTCGCGCTCTTCCCGCCGGACACCCTCCCCCTCCCACCCGCTGTTGCGCGGGAGCTAGATGCCAAAGAAAGCCAGATTAGCCCCGGTTCGCCTCGGTGGGACTACGACAGCGTCGTTGCCAAGTGGAAGCGGGTTGTGATGCACGACAAGACAATGGGCCGCGTCGGTGTCGGGTATGGCAATCCTCCGCTCGATGATCGCAGCAGTACGGACACAAAACCCCGCGCGAGCGATGAGCCGCCTGCCTCCACGCCGGCATCTGCGCCTCCGTCTGCACACCCCAGGTCGCGAGCTCTGCAGCCCGCCCCTGGCCCCGCCCACGCCTCCAGCCCGGATCAATCGTCCTCGCATACCGGGGCCGCCTCGGCCCCATCCAGCCAGAACACCTCGCCTTATCTCCGGAGTCCGCAAGCAGGTCCGCAAGCCAAGCGTCCTCGATTAATGAATGGCGCAGATGGTGGCCACACTTCGGCTACAAATCCGTCGGCCACAGCGCCGAATACGTGGAATCCGCACAGTCACCAGTCTCTTACCGTTTCGAACTTGGCCGGTCAGTCTGGACCGCCGCCGCCTAGCTCTGGGCCGTAGTTATGAAGGCGTCAGGAGGTATCTGCAATGGCGAATGCATGTTGGACACTCCCATCTAACTGTACAAATACTGGAATGATATATACTCATCTTCCGTTCTCGCAAGGAAGTCTGCTATTATTGGATATCTAGATCATAATACACGAGACCGAACAAAAGGTTATGGCTCTGGTAATAGTTATCACTGTACACCCTTCTTCGCCTTCCGCGCACTAATCCACCGCTTCAAATCCCCCACGCCATGAAGATAAAGCCAGGAGAAGAAGTAGACAGCCACGAAATTAAACATGGTGAAAGCCCAGAAGATCCCCTGCGTTTGTCAGCTCGGTCATTCGCTTCCACAATACGAAGAGAGAACTTACGTAGTCGCGCCACTTGTGCGAGTAGAAGACGTTGAAGCCCGCCGCCTGGAATGAGAACATCAGTCAATACCAAAGATACAGACATGGATGAGGAGGGGAGAACGTACAAATACATCCCCGACGGAATACGGGCAATATGAGCATAGGCCGCCCGCAGCGTCTTGGACGTACCCGCCTGCCTGATTCGCAAAGGCGCCGGCGTAGCTCTGGCAGGTTTCGCCTGGTGGAGGCGAGAACTGGGTCATCTCCCTGCTGAGGCATTGGACGGGGATATCATGGGTGAGGACGCCGAGGAAGCCCTCTATCAGGTAGTGGAAGGGGGTGAGCCAGTACATCCAGGATCGCCAGAAGGTGGGGAGGGCGACGTAGGGGACAACAACGCCGCAGAAGGCGACGATGAAGGTGAAGAAGGTGGGGACGACGAGCGAGGCGAAGAGCTCGTTGGGGGAGAAGGCGGCGATGAACTGGCCGAAGCTGACGTAGTAGAGCTCGAAGACCATGAGCAGCATCCAGGTGTAGCTGGAGCTGAAGGAGTCGCGGGGGAACCAAATGCCCCAGTACCTGGTTGTGTCGGTCTTGTGAGAAATGATTAGAGCTGGGTTGAAGGGGGTGAGCTTACCAGCAGTTGAAGTAGATGGTTCCTGCGACGATGGAGTAGGGGAGCTCCGGGAGGATGGCGCTGGTGACCATCGCGGTCCATGAATAGATCTTCGAGTTGGCCTCGCGTGATACGTAGAGGTTCCGGAAGTGCAGGAATCTGGGCTGAAGCTGCTGGATCAGGGGTGGCGAGATGGTAAGAGTCATGAAGATCGAGAAGAGCCGCGATTGCATGTCGATGTAGCTACTTCCTAGATGCCAGAAGGTAAACGTGTTGAAGAGTCCGGTGAAGATATGGAGAAGGAATTTGCCCTGTAGCTGTTAGCATCAACTCTTCAATGAGAAGCACACGCTTACAAGAGTATACTCTGGAGACCTCCAGTAGGCGACGAACGCCCGCTTGGTGACAGATACTATCTGCGTCCAGATGGGCATTGCGTATTCCCGGTCGTCGTCTTTATCCTGTCTGATTTCGCGATTGCGGCGGGAGTTGATGACGTTGTCAATGTCTTCGGCCAGCTCTTTGCATTGAAGAGACTGGGCCCAGACGTCTCCCCAGTCCTTCCCCTTATAGTCCGGATTGCCGGCCCCGATGACCTCGAGCATATACTGGGAGCTATGTCAGTTTAAGCTTAAGCGGACGAGGTGTAAGACGTACTTCGGCAGGATTCGCATGAGGCGGACACTTCTTAGCACCGTTCGACTCAAAATACTCGATGAGATACTTTGAATCCTGTCCCAGTTCTCCGTTGTACACAACCCTACCTCCACTTTGCAACAGCAGGAGGTCATCAAACTCTTCGAATAGGACCGCAGACGGCTGGTGAATCGTGCACAGAATCGCTTGCCCAGCGTCCGCAAGCCGTCGAAGGAACCGCACAATGTTGAACGCGGCAAGCGAATCAAGGCCACTTGTAGGCTCATCAAGGAAAAGGCTGTCCACGCAACGCTCTGTCAGTAATTTGCCTGAGGCCACAGTAATCTGCCGGAGGCCACAACTTACAGAAGTTCAGGCTTACTTGCCAGCTCCACTGCAATGGTGAGCCGCTTGCGTTGTTCGGGGTTCAGGCCCGTCCCTCCAGAGCCCACAGTTGCACCGGCAATTGGGCGCATCTCAAGTAGGTCAATAATCTTCTCACAATAGTCATACTTCTCCTCAATAGGCACCTCTTTAGGCTGCCGCAGAAGCGCAGAGAAGCGGAGAGACTCCCTAACAGTTGCGGTAGGCTCATGGATATCCATCTGTTCAGCAAAACCAGTGGCTCTCTGGAAACTCTTAGGAAGTGGCCTAAAGTTGTAAGTAACGTCCAGGATGCGGGCCGTGACAGTAAGACCTACTTTCCATCTACTAAAAAGGTGCCAGTAACGACACCAAAATTGACCCGCTGGGCCAGAGCATTCAGTAGAGTAGTTTTCCTGTAATGACCTGTGTCAGCTAATTTGGTTTCAAAGTTGTGATAGGCATGACTGACCCTGCTCCAGAAGCTCCCATCATGGCAGTAAGGCGGCCGGGTTTAACGTATCCGTGTACGTCCTGCAGAAGCTTTCTTTGCCCGCCCTTGTAAGGGATGGTGTAGTTGACATCTTGCCAAGTGAAGATAGACGTGCTGTGAGCGATATCCTTGGGTTCAGTCCCAGGCTCTCCCGATTGGGTTTTCTCGGGATCAGCATTGGCAGCATTCTCTTTCTGTCCCGATTCCACATCCTCAGGCAGTTCTTTGTTTTTCACTGCTTCCTCAACAACCTTTGGCGCTTGATTCCTCATAAAAGTCGTAACTGAGCTGCCGCCCTTGTTGGGTTGCTGCAACTCCGTACCCAACATCGTCAAGGCGACGAAGAAAATAAAAAACCCGATGATGATGCCAAGGTTTCGCCATAKATGAGTCCGAGTGTATGTGAAAGCAGTCTTGATGTAACTCGAGCCTGGGACTACTAGCTGGTCCGGACTGCTTCCCTGGATCGCGCAGCTTTGGTGGCCGGGCTGCGCATTAGGGCCCTCTGGTACAACATTCGGGCTTACACACTGAATGTTGAGGTTATAGAATTCATTGGACATGACAGCTTCAAACGCATATTGAACGGGGTTTATCCAGATCAGCCATTTCAACCACGGATGCATCTTCCATGGCGGGATGAGATAACCTGAGTGACGTGAGAAAGGGGGTCGTTCCGAGAGAATTTCATCCTACCTGTATAGACGACCAATGCTTGTATGGCAACTCCGGTGAGCCGAGTAGCTGCTCAATTAGCAAAAGAAGGTCTCGTCAAGGAAAGCACGCTCGGCACATACCGACATCAAGAGAAGCAGACACTGCCCCGAGAGCTCGAAAGAAAGAGTACATTGTCATTGTGAGAATAAAGATGAATAAGAACTGGATAAAGAATTGGGACGGTGTCCGAGAGAGATTTGACATACTTGAACAAATAGTTAGCGTCAACGCGTGTGGCTTGAAGTCTGACAGATGCATACAAGTATACAATCAACTCGAAAAGAGTGATCTGGATGAAGACCAATGGAACGTCAACAACCACCTGGGCTAGAGCATAGGCGGATGGGCGGTAGAAGGAGCTGAAGGAGTCAGTCTTGTACTTTGTTCAGCAGGAGATAGTCATACAAGCTTTTGTGCTTCAGCATGATTGGTCGACTTTCAAAAGATGCTGTAAGTTCTGCCATCGCGAGTAGGGCATTGAATAGGAGAATGAAGAACATGACGCCTCCTCGGGTGAATACACCAAGGCTAGGACATAGATCAGTTTGGGAATCATCCTTCGGTGGACATATCGACGAACCTTGTGGGCGGAAGGTTGTAGAATAAGCTTCCTATGATTAAAGCTTGGAAGGTCAACATGGACCATTTTCCCACCAAGGTCTGTTTGTCGCCGTACATAATCAGAAATTGTCGACGAGTTAGAACGATGACCTGCTCATAGAAGGAAATGGTGTAGTTCTTCTTGGGCATTTCCTGCCTCGCCTGTTCACACTTATGCTTCTGCGTCTCCAACTCTTTTTCGAACTGGTCAATCTCCTGCAGGGCAGCCTTGTACGTATCACTCTTGCGGTACACTCTTTGGAAGTCCTCACCAGATCTCGGAACTCGATCCTCCCATCCACTTTTGACACGCCGCGCATGTGGATCACTGACCGACGTTAAAAAGTCCGGGGTGGTCCACCGCGGGGGACATTCAAACCCTAGGCGTTCAAAATATGCCTTTGCATCTCGAGCGCTCCCATAGTATGCGCACTTGCCCTCTTCAATCAACATGACCTTGTCAAACAGGTTATAGAGATTCTCAGAGGCTTGGTAGAGCGCTACAACCGTGGATACATTCGCCATGTCAGTAAGGGTTCTCAGACTCTGTACATATTCCAGAGCTGTACTGGCATCAAGGCCTCTGGTCGAATTGTCCCAACATTGCGTGCTGGCTCTGGTAATCATGGCCTCGGCGATAGATACACGTTTTTTCTCTCCTCCCGAGATACCACGGATGAGCTCGTTGCCGACTTTTGTGCCGAGCGCATGTTCAATCCAGAACAATTTGGCGATGGCAGAGAGAAACGTCTTTTGATAGTCCTTTCGGCTTTCCCCTGGAATGCGCGAATCTTTGTCCGGAGTGCGAGTTTTAAGAGCGAACAACAGTGTATCCCGGACGGTCAAAGTTGCATAATGGAGGTCATCTTCGGGGTTATAGGACACTGCAGATTTAATCAGCGAAAGTATGCTTGCAGTGTGGATGAGATAGTAACTGTACCTTCAGACCGGTATTTGTCGGCCATCAGTTGGGCATCGGCGCCACCATAGCGTACATCTCCTTCAATACTTTTATATCCTGCCCTTTGATTGCCAATCACCTTCAAAAAAGTCGAGCATCCAGACCCCGGCCGTCCAAGAACCAGGAGCATCTCACGTGGTTTCACGCAGCCCTGGAACACAGTCAGACAGTGCATTGATCAAAGTTACAAGGGAACACAGACGGTAAAGTCGTCGAGTATTGTCCGCAATGGGTGATGGCCGGCACCGATTCCTTTTCTGCCTCTTGTCAACAAGCTTTTGATGAATCTAGGCAGAGCAAGAAAGATATCGGCGTTGGTAGGCTGCAATGCAGCTCCCAGGCCAACCCCTTTTACTGTCAAGGCTTTCCATATGACACCAGCATGTCGGGTTTTCTCCTCGTCAGAAACGGATTTCCTTTCCTTGCCAAACATGCGAGACATCAGCTTTGCAATCTGAGCCATGTCCTCAGCGCCTTCGCTTCCACGGCTGGTCTGTCGACGGGAGAGAACAAGGTTGACGTAGTCGTCACCGTACTGTCCATCACGAGTTGACCTGGAACTGCCATTCTCCAATGCAGTGGATGGTTCTCCGTCGTTTGAAGTATTGTCTTCAGTGCTGGAACCGGAAGTTGCTGGGGAAGCTGCAGAACTCGCAATCTCATGAGAAGATTGCCCTTCTGGGGAAGCGTTCACTTCCTTTCGATGCTCTACGGCGCGCTCATCGTCCATGATGCAAGCAGCAGATCAGGTTACATGTAGGATAAAGGACTTGCACATTGAAGGCATAGATGAAGCGTAGAAATGGTCTATCGATATCGAAGACAGACGAAAGGGCAGCCCGTAAGGTATGAGAAGGAAAACAAATTACGTCAGGGACTTTTCAATGTATTGTCTTCCCCGGATATCTGACCTGGATTGACCGAGCATATTTGTGCATATCAGTCAGATCAATAAGCTCAGCTCACATCACTATTGGTGAGATGCTCGAATCTCGGCATGATCCAGATGTCCATCATGATTCATGCCGACGCGAGCAGCTTCGCATCGGAAATCACGAAACCCGAGTGTCCGATTGTATTGTGTTTCCCATCGATGCAGCGTTGTGATCCAGGGATCTGTCCGGTCATGTGCGCGTGTTCATCGATGGAACGGGCCAAACGATCACAATGAGATCACCACTTGCGATCTGGATAGACCCGAGCATTCCGTTAACCAGTAGCGTCGTCAAGACATTATGTGAACAATTCGGAATATCTATGCTGAAGCAGACCGGGTCATCTTACAGAAGTGCCAAGCATCGGATCGGTGCTGATCGAAAACCGACAATAGTAGTCAGTGACGTTGACGTAGTTGATGTTTCCCGAAAAGGAAAAAGCTCTATACACCCGAGAGCTTCTCCAGGTTTTGGTGTAGTACGAAGTATATAATATCGCATTTTCTTTCTTCTTCTGTGAGGCCTTCTGATCATTTTTGCAGCTCAAGATCTTCTTCAGCTTTCAGAGACGTCATTAAACCAAAAGGAATTCCTAGACTAAAGGCGGCAATGAGTGAAGTATATCTGCCACATGGTGTGGAATGTGGACTCAAGCCAAGATGATGCGTTTAAAAAGACACTACTCCGTATCTTCCTACCAGATAGAAGACCCTTCAACAGCATCAATCTTCCTCGATAGAAAAAAGCCTGGCCCTCAATATGAGTTACGTGCCTCTGCCAATTGTCAATCCTGCGGCCCTCGATAAATGCGGAGGCTGGGCCCAAAGTACTTGGTACCTGGTCAGCCTAACAACTAGCCCGACAGCTTAAGTACCCTTAACCCAATCAAGATCGGCCTGCCAACGAATAGCACCCGACTATCTATACATCTCTTCCCGTGCGGAGGAATACGATGCTGTCCAACAGCCCAGCCACCGACAGTCGATACTTCACAAGGAAATCAACATGGCTGGGCCACGTCCCTTAAAACTACCCGGCCATGCACATGGTCCCTCGAAGAATTTTCCATCCCTCCTTTCTTTCTCGTATCTTCTTCCTTCTTCACCCCTTACGGAGGATTTCCGGTTTCGAGGGTCTCGTTGACCTTCATCTACATATCTACGTTCCATCCTAGAACTTCTATATATATCCACTCCTCCGGGGAGAAAACGAGCAAAATGGTCCAAAAGAACATCACCATCGCCATTATCATCATCATCCTCTTCATCATTCTCGCCCTCGCCGGCTTCGGCATCTACGCCATGCAAAACCACGTCTCCTTCTTCTCCAAGAAACGGGCCGTTGATGAGGAGGGCGCTGAGGAGGGGTGACCTCTTTATTATCCGTGTTTACCAATTATGTCGACGACGATCACGATCACGATCTTCCTTCTATGCTGTGCATGACTTGATGCATTACGATTTGAACTATTTATACTACGTACGCCATGTCTGTTATGAATCACGCCGTTTGGCTCGACGTCGATGAGAGTATGGAAACGGGGCTCACCTACGGCTTTCGCTCGACGCTCTCTATTTCGGAATTGATGGGGCTGACTCGGAAGCGAGAGAAACGAACACAACAACATATTTATACATTGATCTATGTCGCTCATAGATATTGGTCTTGCATAGGGCATGCATGCTCAGTGGTGATATCAGGTTTATATTCTTGGTTTTGGTTGGCTTTCTGATGTCCAAAGTATGGGCAATGGCGCTTGGAGTTGGGTATATCATGCAATCGATTGATTGAAAATACTTGCGACGGTATTACTTGTACTATATTTCATGCGATCAGTACATATACACAAAATGACATGTCTTACGAATCATTAATTGTATTGATATACGCGATGGAAGATGCTTATCAACCTATAATCTTCAGTCCACCCCTCGTCTTGCCCGGCTTCTTGACGCCGTCGTGCTTGACCTTCCCCCCGGCTTGACCTCCACCTTGACCGCCAGCGTTCTTCTTCCCGCCCTTGGTGTTGGCTGTCGGACGGATCTCCGTGGTGGCCCGTCGCAGCAAGATCGGATGTGAGCCAATGTACTTGCCCTGCATCTCCCTAGCAGCCGCGAAGTAGTCATCGCCGTTGCTGAAACTGACAAATCCGTAACCCTTGCTCTTCTGCGTGCGCTTGTCCCGAATGACTCGCGCTTTCTGAACGGATGAATACCTCGAAAACGCTTTCAGCAACGAGTCGTCCGTCACCTCGCCCGCGAGGTTCCCCACGAAGAGTCGGAAATGCGCCGGATCCCATTCTAGTAGAGTCGGATCGGTCCACGTCTGGCCACCGCCGGAACGCACAACGGTCTTGGCAGATTGCTCTGGGTGGCCCGGCACCGGTGTTGGGGTACTCGTCGCTGTCGCACTGCTCGGTGTGTTGGTTCCCACGGTAGCACCTGGCATTCCCGTAGCTCCGTCGCGACGACCTGCTACCTTGCCTCCTCCCGGAACTTCCTCTCTGTTGGCGTAAGCGCTCTGCCACTGCGCAATTTGAGCTTCTGTCTCGGGATCTAGGCCGGAGTCATTGCGTCCGTAATTCTTCCCCGTCCCTGTAGCAGTGAACGGATTTTGAATGTGAGGCACAGACGGGCCATAGCTGGTGTCATTGTATTGTGCGGAGCCGTAATAAGCCGGCCCACCCTGGTATGTTTGCGGTGTCTGAGAGTAGTAATTACCGTAATCTGTAGCAGCCGGCGCCGAGTAGCCCGCTGCAGTAGCTGGCGGCGTAGAGACGGCCGGACTGCTGGTACGATACGGCTGGCTGGAAGCTACAGCACGAGGCTGAAACGCTGTGAAGGAATTATAGCCTGTCCGAGGGCCAGTCCCGCCATATCCGCTGCTGGCAGCTGGAGCCGTATATGAGGGTGCGGCCGAATATGCAGGTTGATAAGATGCGGAGGCTGTGCTTGCGGATGCTGGTGGCCGCGCGGGTAGCGAAGATGGCGTTTGTTTGAGACCTGGAGGTGGCGGAAACGACATGATGAACGGAGCGTTCGAAACAGAGATACGGTATGGATGGTTTGATTGCGCCGCGTGCAGGAGAAGCAGCAGACACGTACCTTCAGGGCCTGACTGACGAGCAGTCACACGTCAGACGTCACGCCTGAAAAAGGTCCCGAATCCTGAATCTATATGGATTTTGAGGCAAGTGAATGATGCACAACGACAGTCTTTGGTCTCGACTTGTATTCTTTGAATCAACGTTCAACTGCGTAGAAAGCAATGGAAGAGTGGTGTTACAATCGAAAGACGTAACAGGCAGTCAACACTTTTGTGCCGAACCAAAAAAGGGAGGGTGTGTCTTGACGGCCGTATGTTTCGAAGAGATATTGTCGCGGAAGTTGTCGACAAGAGAGTTTGAGTCCTTGTCCTGAGGCAAATTGGATCGCAAGTGAAAGTCAATCCAGCTTACTGTCCATGTTGCGCCAAGAGAAAGAAAACACTGCTGGTTCCTCTGCCTTGCCGTAGGGGTCTCCGGATTGCGGCAAATCATTGTTCCCGGGTAGCGGCTCAGCCACTGACTCAATGACTAAGCCGCTCAACGGATTTACCACAGAATGATGCAACCCCCACCCTAAGCCGCTTTGGGTAATGCAATAGCCGACAACGGCGTCATGGGGGACGAGACCTTCTGCATCAGTAATCCATCAGATGCTGTAGAGAGGTATTATTCTTGAAATCTCGGTGAATAGAAAAGTCATCTTCTAGACGATAATTGGCATCTAAACTCCGTTGCTGTAGCAAAGACCTACAGCGGTACTACCGGCTTATCGAATGGATTCAGTATTCATTCAATGCTAGCTGCTAGACCGAATGCGACAAAAGCCCGGAGGAGCATGGTCTACTAAATACAGAGTACAGACGAGTATAAAAGCCAACATTCTCACGGAATAGCATAAAAGTAGTCATGCTTTAGCAATCATGCCTAATAATACCTTAATCTTGATAGACGGAGTAATTATTATTCATGTCGTTATCGGAAGTATATGGGCTCTTTTTGCTTCACCGAGCATGCCTGACTTGGAGGCACTAGCGCCGCTACCAGTTAGTCCAGCACATTTTTGGCTGTCTGCCCCTCCATTTACAGCTCCTGTGCCCCGCCATCAACTACCGTCATCTCCGAAGTTCCTTGCTCTGTTCCTCACATTGAGGGACAACAATGTTAGAACTGTTCAAGGACCTTGTGAGAGTGTGTACTGAGTATGTAGTAGCATATCCGGTGTTCTTCAGAAAAGAAGGCAATTGTCTAGTAGTGCTGGGGTCCTTTGCAGTTGTCTAACAATCCCACCATCCGCGGGATTGATTTATGATCAACTAATACTAAAGTAATCATCCATAACTCCGTAGTCCCCCCATGGATGCTTCCAGCGTTACTCTATCTACGTAGTCTACAACTCACCGGACGACTCTGCTCCCTCTGTTCCTTCTGGTGCCCCGCCCGTTGTCCACTTCTTGTCCTGTGCAGTGTCCCACCATGACGGAAGGTTGCTCCGTCAGCATCCAAGGTCCGTAATTAACTACACCTAATCCCTAGTAATAAAATAATAATAATCCGGCTCTGACATCTTCTCCTCCTCTTCCCTTCTTCTCCTTTTCTTCTTCTCCGTAATCCATTCTATACCCTTCATCCTTTCATCATCTTCTATTGGAGCTGTTTCTGTAGATTCCTCGTCTACGGTCTATCTCCTTGAACTTCATCCCACATATACCCCTCTTCTCAACCTTCCATCATGTCTGACCAAGCTGTGTAAGTACTCTTTTGAGTTTATCCCCTTCCATCCACTACATCATCATCATTTTTATCCCCCTGGCTTTCAATCCGCCACGCTACCTTTGCGGCATTGATGGCAACGTCGCAGAGCTATACCTTGCGCTGGACAAGCTTGCTCTTAAGCTATAGGAAGCTCAAGATTGAGCTTGTTGATTTTTCAACCTTCCTACTGTCGAGACCATGCATTTGCAGCTCCCCAATAAATCATTTCCCAGTTCTATCTCAGCTATTTACATGGGAATCTACCAACTGACTTAAGCGCCCGCTTGGCCGGCATCAATGTCGGCGCACCGGCGCGTCCTTTACCTAGTGCTGATTTCGGTCTCATCGGTCTGGCCGTTATGGGCCAGAACCTGATCCTCAACGTTGCTGATCACGGTTTCACCGTCTGCGCTTACAACCGTACGACCTCCAAGGTCGACCGCTTCCTTGCCAATGAGGCCAAGGGTGAGACTCTCACTAATACGTCTACAATTGAGGGAACGCCAAATTAACTGTGTCAATCCAGGCAAGTCCATTGTCGGTGCTCACTCCGTCGAGGAATTCTGCGCCAAGCTGAAGCGCCCCCGCCGTATCATGCTGCTGGTTATGGCTGGCAAGCCTGTCGACGACTTCATTGAGTCTCTCCTGCCCCACCTCGAGGAGGGTGATATCATCATCGACGGTGGTAACTCCCACTTCCCCGACAGCAACCGCCGTACCAAGTACCTGAGGGAGAAGGGCATCCGCTTCGTCGGCAGCGGTGTTTCCGGTGGTGAGGAGGGTGCCCGCTATGGTCCCTCTCTGATGCCCGGTGGTAACGAGGAGGCCTGGCCCTACATCAAGGACATCTTCCAGAGCATTGCCGCCAAGAGCGACGGCGAGGCTTGCTGTGACTGGGTTGGTGACGAGGGCGCCGGTCACTTCGTCAAGATGGTTCACAACGGTATCGAGTACGGTGACATGCAGCTGATTTGCGAGGTAAGCCACGTTCTTTTTCTCAGATACTCTGCAGGGACAGGTCACTGATATGACGACAGGCTTATGACATCCTGAAGCGTGGTCTGGGCCTGCCCGTCAACGAGATTGCCGATGTCTTCGCCAAGTGGAACAAGGGTGTCCTGGACTCGTTCCTGATTGAGATCACTCGTGACGTTCTCTACTTCAACGACAACGATGGCACTCCCCTTGTTGAGAAGATCCTTGACAAGGCCGGCCAGAAGGGTACCGGCAAGTGGACCGCCATCAACGCTCTCGACCTCGGCATGCCCGTCACCCTGATCGGCGAGGCCGTCTTCGCCCGTTGCCTGAGCGCCATCAAGGACGAGCGTATCCGTGCCAGCAGCCTCCTCGATGGCCCTACCCCCCAGTTCACCGGTGACAAGCAGGCTTTCATCGATGACCTCGAGCAGGCTCTGTATGCCTCCAAGATCATCTCCTACGCTCAGGGCTTCATGCTCATCCAGGAGGTAAACCATTGCACTTCTCCCTAGACTATGTACATTGACTGACAATAATTGGTTAGGCTGCTCGCGAGTACGGCTGGAAGCTGAACAAGCCTTCCATTGCCCTCATGTGGCGTGGTGGCTGCATTATCCGCTCCGTCTTCCTCAAGGACATCACCAACGCTTACCGCAACAACCCCGACCTGGAGAACCTCCTGTTCGACAACTTCTTCAAGGCCGCCATCCAGAAGGCTCAGCAGGGCTGGAGAAACGTCGTCAGCAAGGGCGCCCTCTGGGGTATCCCCACCCCCGCCTTCAGCACTGCTCTGAGCTTCTACGACGGATACCGCACCCGGGACCTCCCTGCCAACCTGCTGCAGGCTCAGCGTGACTACTTCGGTGCTCACACCTTCCGCATCAAGCCCGAGTGCGCCAACGAGAACTACCCCGAGGGCAAGGATATCCACGTCAACTGGACCGGCCGTGGTGGTGACGTGTCCGCTTCCACCTACGTTGTTTAAATTCTGACGGAGACACGACGCACTGCGCTGGACGTAAGACCTCGTTGCCCTGAGAGGAAAGTGTGACTCGAAAATGCAGTATGGCCTGTCTATGGCTCGGGGGCACATAGATGATGATGGTAAAAAATGACTTATATCAGTGTACTTAGATGCATGCTTCTTTAATGGTCCTCACGGAAATGGATGAATGTCTTCTTCTGTTCTAGTACAAGGTTCTAGTACGAGCCATAGTGAATCAAAAAAAAAAAATCACTCAAATGTTGTAGAAATGCTTTGACAATCCTATGGCTACTGTAGACGAGAAGAAGTGTTATGTACATGAATTGCTGATCAGTGATGCCGCTAGACTCGATTGGGCGGTGATGAGCTGCCCGCAGTGCAACGTTGTTCCATCTCCAAAACACAGTGACTGACCTCTCTGTTCTCCGCCCGACGACGACATCCATCGTCTTCCCTCTTCCGAGCCAGCAGCCACAGCCAATCATCCTGTCTGCTTGGCAGTGACTTTTCCCCAATATTGTTCATTTCCGTCCGTCTTGCATTGGTTGCATCCATCCGTTCTTCTGGTTGTTATTCCTTTCTGCCGTCGCTCCTTTGTCAACCTATTTTCCTCTTCCCGCACCGTCCCACTTAGTTCGAACTGATCGATTCCATCCCTGCCGCGAAGAAGTGATTGCGGCGAAGATCCTGAATTCAGCGAACGACATCGTTTGAGCGAGAATTGGGAGCAACTCGGTACGGTCGGCTTTCCGTTTTGTACCAGTGTGGCTCGGTCGGCGCATACTCGTCGATACAGCAGCTACCTTGGCTCCAGTTTCTAGAAGACCTAGGGGTATTTGATTGCCTCTTTTCGACTTGCTTCTGTCGAGGGCGGCATTCATATGGCAGAGAACAAGCGCCACGGTGTCGGAGTGAAAGCACCAGCGCAAGGTCCCTCGGGTGCAGCTACGAGTGCGGGAATGACAGCTGCCATGGTGCCGTTGGAAGTGGCATTGAGCGGCGCAATTGGCGCACGGTGAGTTCTATTTCTCTTGGGATGCTCTGGCGCAACTGGAGCCTGCAAGCCCCCTATGTTCTATAGCTGAGTGTTTCCCGTGATAGCATTCGCATTAGTACTGCACCCCCCACTTCCTCTACGATCGAGGGCACTCTATTCACCGCCTGTCCCATCACAAATCTCGTTGCTATCAATACAGCCGACGGCAAACAGACACAAGCGGGCGATTACCGCATTATCCCGGTATCGCGGATTCAGTCATTCCAACTCCTGTCTCTTGCTCCCACTGCCAACTCCGCTGAGGGCCCGTCCTTCTCCGATGCCGTACCTCCGGTGCATGCGCTTGACATTCGAGCCCTGAGGGCTCGAGAGGCCAGCGCCGTTGGCAAGTTGCAGGAGAGCGAAGCGCGGCGTGGAAAGGGCGTTACGCGGGAGGCACAGGAGATCTTCGACGCTTTTAGCCGCACAATGCCCGCACGGTGGGACGGACCCAATATTATCGTGGCAGATGCCGTCATTATTGCGCCTCCTTATCATGTAGACGATTGTCGATCAATCGCGGCCGGTGATACGGCTGCACTGACCAGAGTGCGCAAAGTGGTATGTAGCTCCAACTCAGTTCCGGTCCAGCGGAAAACCAAAGCTAACAGGTCTGGGATTACAGCTTGAAATGGAACGCAAGAAGATTGAGCTTCGCAGCGCAAGTACGACGATCGGCACGGCGGGGGCCTTTTCGCGCTCTGCATCGGTCAAGGATACTCGGAACTCGGCTAGCGCAAGTACTTCACCCGGGCCTGGTGCTGCTGGGCAGAGGAAAGGCGGTTAATGTGGATCTGAATTTCAGAGGCGAGGCTTACTCCCTAGGCTCATTCAAGGCGAAGGTATGTGGGGTGAAACCACCTGTCGCGCCAAAAATAGGGCATATTGCGGGAGAACAGTGCCTTGACGACATGATACATTTAACCAGACTGATAGAAGGCGGGGATGTGGAAAACCAACTAAGCAACGGACAACAATATACATTGAAGAATTCGCTGGATGCTGAGCTGTCTCAGTTTTCGCCAGAGCAGGGTGGTCGGGGAGGGAAATGAGAGTCGAATCTGTCCCTGGCTTATCAGGCTGTAACCGGTAAACCTGCTCAAACAAAGTGATCATACGAACAATTCAATTGCTCTTAGAGTAAACAAAGAGAACAATCCTATTTTGCTTCTAACCTGTGAAACTAAAGAACCTTCTAAATCAATGCCGAAATTCTAAGAATGAGATAAATAACCCGCAGACTCAAGAAGAACCGTACGAAGCCAACACCACCATCCGCACCACAAACCCGGAAACCCAACTCAAGCAGAATTCTCATCCTGATCCCGACCCATCTTCTCCAGATTGAGCGCCGCGCTAACACAGGCCAGATGGCTGAACGCCTGCGGGGTATTCCCCATCTGTTCGCCGGAGATGGCGACCTCCTCGGAGAACATGCCCAGGTGGTTCGAGTAGGAGAGGATATTGTCAAAGTGCGCGAGGGCGAGCTTCCAGAGGTTCGGGATGGGCACGTTGTATTTTGCGGCCTGTTTCCTCTTCTTAGTGACTGAGCAGGGGACCGGTGGACGGTGGAACCTACACGGGCCATTGCTTCGACGAGCCAGAATGTGACCATGATGAAGGCGCCTTCGCGGCCTCCGACGCCTGTTACGCTTTGTCAGTGATGCGACAGAATGGGATGATGGGATGGAAGGGGCGGTACCGTCGCGAGCTTTCTCGTGGTCGTAGCGAAAGACCATTTTGGCGCTGGAGAGCCCCTGCTCATTGGGGTTCTGGAGGATTTTCTCAAGGGTGCTGATGAAGCGCGGGTCGTTGGGCGGGCAGAAGAAGACGAGCGGGGCAATCATGACGGCGGCGTCGAGGACGTCGCGGCTCTCGTAGCTCTGGGTGAAGTGGCCGCGGTCAAAGTTGTAGCCGCGTTCCATGATCTCGTCGTAGAGCTCGTCGCGGACCTGGATCCATTTGAGGCGGTCCGGGCAGGGGAGGCTGGAGCGCTTCTCGGAGAGGCGCACGCCGCGGTCCAGCGCCACCCAGAGCATGATCTTGGAGTAGAGGAAGTTCTGGATCTGGCCGCGGGACTCCCAGATGGACATGTCCTTTTCGTGGCGCACGCCGATCACGTAGTTGATCATGCGCCGGATCGAGAGCCACTGGTCGTAGGTGATCGGGTTGCCGTGCTTGTCGTACAGGTAGATGCTGTCCAGCAGCTCGCCGTAGATGTCCAGCTGCGTGTGGAAGACGGCCGCGTTGCCGATGCGCACGGGCTTGCTGCCCTTGTACCCTTCCAGATGGCTCAGCTCCACCTCGGGGATCTCGTACTCGCCGCGGATGGTGAACATGAGGGGCAGGAAGGGCCGCTTCGAGCTCGGCCCGGCATCCTCCTGCGCGTGCGGGAAGATCCGGTCGAAGATGAAGCTCACGTACGCCTCCGCCTCCTCGCTGTAGCCCATCTTGAGGAAGACATACAGTGTGAAGGCCGTGTCCCGGACCCAGGAGTACCGGTAGTCCCAGTTGCGGCCGCCGCCCACGTTCTCCGGCAAGGAAAAAGTGGGCGCCGCCACGATTGCCCCCGTGGGCTTGTACGTCAGTAGCTTGAGGATGAGCAGGCTCCTCTCCACGGTTTCCCGGTAGTGACCGCGGAAGGTGCACTGGCGGGTCCACCCGGTCCAGTAGTCGAACGTCTCCTCCTCCAATTTGTCGAGGTAGGATTCCATCATGGCGTCGCTGGGCACGATCTTCTCGGGGCTGTGGATGACGAAGGTCAGGTTCTGGCCCTGTGACAGTCTGATCCAAGCGACAAGGCCGCGGCCCCGCATGCCTGGCTTTTCCTCGATGCTGAACTTCACCTCGGGAAATCCCACTCTCTCGACCTGCTTGGAATGGGCGAAGATCTCCACCTGGAGTTTCTCCGACTCACTCTCAAAGTGGACGGTCTGGAGTTGATGCTTGCTCAGGTCGTTGTCGAGCTTGGACCGGGTCGTGTGGGTGTCCCGGGCGTAGTTGAACGCGGGGAAGATCTCCACTTGCAAGTCCATATTGCCACGGCTGCAATCCAGCTTCCTGACCACGCCGGAGTGCCGCAACCCTGACTTGAACCGGTTGACCCCGGGTTCGTTGCAGGGGCAATACCCGGACAGGATCCTGGCCGACTGGGCACTCTTCCTAGGGGACACAGGGAAGTAGTCCAGCATGGTCACCACGCCATCCTCGTTGGTCCACCGTGTCTCGAGCATATTGGAGTACGGCAGGTACCGCTGCTTGCTGAGGATATTGGGGGAAGAAGGAGGCGGGCAAACGCTGAAGTAGCCCCCTTTCTGGGTGTCTAGCAAGCGGCAGAAGACGCTCGGAGAGTCAAAGACAGGCCAGCACATGTAGTCCAAGCTGCCTTGTTTGCTCACAAGGGCACAGGTGTGCATGTCCCCGATGAGCCCGTAGTCTTCTATGGCATTGTAGGTAGTGGCCATGACGATGATCAGAGAGATGGGTGTCCTCAGTGATCACGGACGTAGTCGATGGTAACGGTGATTCTCTTGAGTATCAAATTCAGCTATCGGCGTGCAGACACGACAATCTCCTGGAGCTGCTAGACAGCATAGAGGATGGAAGAAGCTGATGAGGGGGCCCCGTATAGGGCCAACCTGTCTCGTAATATCCATCTAAGGATTATTTCATCCCTTGTGCTTCTGGACATAGTAACKACATGATGATGATGATGATGACGGTGGTCATGATCGTGATAGCTTCTGCCTTCTGCTGTTCCGATGCAGTCACTGTAATCGGGACTATACTATGAAGGAGAGAGCCTGGCCATGGGAAGCTCCAGCGACACAGATGATGGAATTGAACCATCACGGTGAAAGATTCGAAGGCGCCGAATCATATGCACATCCGAAGCTCATTGAGTTTTACCCAGTATGTGATAGATCATACATTCTCGGTTGGACGTCGTTTATTTGGGCTGGAAGAGTCCAGCCCAGAGTCCAGGCCAGGGCTGGACATTGGAGATATCTATAGAGTACCCTTCTACTTGCCAAGAATGTTGTTCCCGTGACTTCTCACCGTCTACTCTCCATCTCTGCATGTATGCAAGTTCCTCTTAGTCAACCTTGGTAATTTCAAGATGATTTCTACCTTTCATCAGGAATGTCATCAAGGTCGTCAAGAACCTGTATAATCCCTGCATTTTAGTCAAGGCTGTGATATCATGTCCTTCATCATAATTGCACAAGCCGTAGGGCTTCGGCCCATCGAGTATTCACCTCGGACATGGCATCCACCAATTGTGGCTGAGGAGTCCATGAATCCACCAGGATTATTATTGACCGCATTATTATTATTAATTAGTTGAGACATTCTTCATGGTTAGGTAGGCAATTGAACCTGCTTATAAACATTCGTCAACGATAAAATGTAATTAGATACTAGATATCCATGGGCTGGCTGGTAGACTGGATGACTTTCAGCCTTTCGGATCCATCCTTCATTGGCATCAAGGAAGGAAGGATAATAAGGATCATCAAGAATGACAATGATAATGAAGATTAACCCCGGATCGTCCGGAAGGGACCAACAGCAAATGATGACCCTACAGGATTTTCATCCACAAGGCACAATTCCCGTGCATTATCAGAGATTTTGGGACCTCTTACAGGGAGGTTAAAAGGAATCTAGGGTCAGCCGGACGCAACTAGACTCTTCCTAGGCAAGACTAACAGGGGCTAAGGCAGCCAAGGGTCAGTCCCCATTATTATTATTATTACTATTAGCGAGGTATCACAGGCAGAAGAGAAGTATTTTTATTACTGTCCTTTGCTCAAATCATTATTACATTAGCCCTGTTTTTGCTGAAGATTTCTTGTCTTTTGTCATAGGAATCATGCCAGGTCAGGCCAGGCATTCAATGATATGGATTATGGATGTCATCATGGATGGGTCTGATAACCATGTTCTGTGGGAGGATGTCCTGCACAAGGTATCGTTTGTATGGGATGGCTAGCCAAAAGTTACCTGACCCTCACTCCTCCCTAAACTTTGGATCTGGGGCCTGTTGATCGACTCACACGACCTTTGTGATATTGCAGAGGGGAATTAATAATAATCCACACTGATATATGGAGTAGATAGATAGACTAGAATAATAATTGGGCAGAGAGCTATGGAGCAAAAGCAGAATTCAGAGTAGATAACTAGTCAAAGGTAGGTCAGTTAGGCATGATCCTGATGACTGTAAACTAAGAACTAGATCTATCTATCTATCTCTCTAGGTACCTTAGTATCTTGGGTTCTTCCCTCCTCTTTTAAATCCCAATAAACTTCATTATTTCCCCCCATCCCAATCCCAATTCCCATCGCGCCCTTGCATCAATCAAGTCGGGGGCGGTGTTTTCCCTTTTTCTTTTCTCTGTATCTATCTACAAGAAGTTTGCCTACCTGCAATATCTCTCATTTTTACCCCTTTCGTCCTGGCGTGCATTGATTCCTTTCCTTTTTGATTTCCTTTTCCTTGCTGCCTTCTTGCTCCTCCTGTGAGCAATCTTATTGTCAGTATTATCATTCATTCAGCCATCCGGKAAAACTGTTGATATTCCTGCATCCCCCACGAGACCTGTCAGATCAATTGATCTTCAAGTCTGCATTCCTTTGTGGCATCATCAATTCCCTCGAGCTCTCCAGCTGTGATTTCATTCAACCCGACTGTCATCCACTGGGGCAAATCTTCGTGTTTATTTATCAATCGCTGATGGATTCCACTGCGCCCTAGCAGATCCGTCCTTTCCTCCCTCGCTGTGTCTCTCCTTTTTTCCTTTTCCCTTGTTTATTCTCCTGTTTCCGTTTTACCTCTACATATAACCTTACAAAATGGGGCTATCGCCGGCTGGAAGTCACCATCGACGTCGAAGCTCCGTCCTCACAGGCGCAGGACCCTCATCGCTGGCCGCCCCGACCGAACAGAGGGAGGATCATCCCAGACCCATTGTCGAGGCGGTCAACTACAAGCGCGACGAACAGAAACCGTTGACGGCCGATGACGCAGACGTCTCCGATCTGTCTTCAATCGCAGAGAGTGTGGAGATGGATTTTGTGAGCTCTGACGATGAGCTCCACGATGATGAAGAAACCGGTCTCACAGCGAAACAACGACGTCAGAGACGCCGACGGAGGAAACAACGGAGGCAATTGGATGCCCGCATAGCTGATGTCAAGTCCTCCCGACATGATATCCTCTCGATGGGTCTGGCAGATCGAAACGTCGTCAAGAAACTGCTCGTCAATGCGTGTCTCATCCTCTTGTGGTACTTCTTTTCCTTGTCGATCTCCGTTGTAAGTGATCCATCATCCCCGACCCCTGCCTTGTGCGGGGAGGGGCCGTATCTAGAACTTTGCATACTGACTCTTTTCCTCTCGTCTACTAGTACAACAAATGGATGTTCTCAGAAGACCGTGTCGTGTTTCCGTTTCCTCTCTTTACGACTAGCTTGCATATGCTCGTCCAGTTCAGTCTCGCCTCCTTCATTCTTTGGTTGATCCCAGCGCTGCGCCCGCGACACCCGTCATCCTTCTCGTCCGGTTCACCGTTCAGAAACAGTCACGATGTCTCCGAATCGACGCCCGTTCTCACCAAATTCTTCTACCTCACCCGGCTCGTTCCCTGCGGCGCAGCGACGTCTCTCGACATCGGGCTGGGCAACATGTCCCTCAAGTTCATCTCCCTCACCTTCCTCACCATGTGCAAGTCCTCCGCTCTCGCCTTCGTCCTTCTCTTCGCTTTCATTTTCCGACTGGAGACGCCCTCTGTCAAGTTGATTTTTATCATAGCCACCATGACCGTCGGCGTGGTCATGATGGTCGCCGGAGAAACAGCCTTCAATGCTGTGGGCTTCGCTCTAGTCATCGCCTCCGCGTTCTTTTCAGGTTTCCGCTGGGGACTGACACAGATTCTACTCCTGAGGCATCCGGCTACATCCAACCCCTTCTCCACCCTCTTCTTCCTCACTCCTGTCATGTTTGTCTCGCTTATTATCATCGCTCTGACCGTTGAAGGCCCTGCCAAGATCGCCGACGGCTTTGCCTCCCTGTCAGAGTCTCATGGCGGCGCATTTGCCGTCTGCCTGCTAATCTTCCCCGGTGTGCTGGCCTTTTGCATGATCTCGGCCGAGTTCGCTCTGCTGAAACGCTCCTCCGTTGTCACACTCAGTATCTGTGGCATATTCAAGGAAGTCATTACGATCAGTGCAGCAGGCGTCGTGTTCCATGACCAATTGACTACGGTCAATATTGCAGGTTTGCTTATTACCATTGCCAGTATTGGTTGCTACAACTACATGAAGATTTCGAAGATGCGTTCCGAGGCACAACGAGGCACCTGGGAGCGCAGCCCAAACCTGGACTCGGAAAGCGACGACTCAGGTCGTGCTCGCTCCCGTTCGCGTGGAACGTATCACAGAATTGGCGATCCGGAAACCAGCATGGTTACTCCGGTGTCGCAGGTGCCTACAGGTGAAGACTTCGCGCCCGTCGACGGCTTGACTGGCGATCGGCGCTCGTTCCAAGTGAGGGCCAGCGGGGCCAGTAGCAACATTCATGGACTCACAATTTCCACCGGAAATCTAAGCGATAACGAGAGTCGACCGTTCTCCCCGCGTCTGGCCGGTCCGTCGCCGCTCAAGTCCGCACCGCCTGTAGTCCTGACCGCCGACTCCCAATTTCCGCCGCGGGTGGGACGAGGCCCAAGCGCTGGAGGTAACTTACAGCCATCCCCCGACCGGGCAGTGTCGGGAGAAAGACCTTGACCATGAGCGACTGGGATTGTACGACGCTTCCATTGAAGCCACTGGTTTGGTTTCAAGTCCCTGTGCTCGGCTTGTGCCCGTGTCCAAGGCGTAGTATGCGAATCTTCCCATCCTGTCAGTCTGGAACTAGCGGGACAGAAAAAGGGCAAAAGGGCGGTGCTTGGATGGTCATCCAGGGTATCGTCAACGATATACACGGTAGAGATCACTAGATTTCTGTCATCAAACTCGTGGGGAGGTATAGATGATCGAGCTGCAAAATAGCTCGTGCACATATTTGCAATTGACGTCCCGTATTGACGGGATGGTTTCGTTTTCGTTTTCAGTGATACCAATGATTACTTTGACAATGCTGTCTATATATCCTCCCAGTGGGCCTATTGGTCTTGATTCCTTCGTTAGTTTGACATCTCGCATGACAATACCCATGTTGCAACGTGATATTGTTCGATACCTCGCTCAATCAAAGTCCAAGTAATGGCAGTACTATTTCCAGCCATCAATTTCGTTAGATAGCATCATGCGTAGTGCCATTGGTTCGAGGTCGGTTATAGTCACGTAGTATACAAGAGCCACGGTCATACTGCAATAATCAATGGCTCTGACATCCTTCATCCTCACTCTCTAACTCACTCTCGCTCTCGCTCTCGGCCCCCTTTTTAGCCCCCTTCCTC